TTGCGGGATTAATTAAATTTACCAACATTGTTTGGCGTTCAAGCCCCCTAAAGCGCTTCTACATCGTATTCAGAGTTGCCATGTAACAAAAGCGGCCAGCCGAGTCGAAATTTTGGTTCTACATTAACTCTGCAAATTCCATTGAACTTGAAGAACGAACGGAGGATCTCCAGATATTTGGGTGCTACAAATGTCCACTTATTGTCTCTTGCTCTATATCGAGGCCTGACGAAGCATTCGTCTAGCTTCGGAATTATTTGATATTCTCGATTATCTCGATATGCCAGCTGTGCGATTTGACTTTTCTTTCGTTTTAATGAGCGATCTATTAATCACGCAACCCACCGCAGGTAAAATATGCACGATGAACAAATATTAAATAATTAATACGGGTGCGAGGCGAGTGAATAAATAAAATAGTGATTAATACGATTAATAGCGATTAACAGTAATGAATAAACAATGAATGAATAAATAAAACATTGTTTTCCACAGCATTCTTTTTTTTGATGTGCTGGAACTTTTGATGAAATCCGAAGCTCTCGAGAGAACTAATAAAGAAGCTGTGCAAGGGTAAATATAACAGTCACGCCGAATAATGCTGTGCGCCGATGGAGATTCAAATTTGGGCTCATTAAAATTACAACGATAAGCAAAAGTGAAGAGAAGACGTCGGCGAGTAATGACAAGATGGGACTTGCGCGACCGAAGGGGCATTATTACACGTAAAAAAAGTCAACGTTTACATGATTCACGTTAAGAATTGCGAGACCGCTATCCGCAGTTGCAAATTATTCGCAATCTTTGCCCTCAGGCTGTGATTACTCGCAGATTTGTATTCATGCAGCGTTATTCGGCGCAGTTTCGATCAATGTTTCTCATTGTACGAAATGAGCGGGTATCGGTAGCGGGGATACCGATGAACGAATAACCTGAGATCGAGGAAGCTATAATTATTTGTCAAATAATGACGGAGCACGAACGCCGGTCTAAATTTCGACCCGGCTATCCGGCTATTATTCCCAGTAATTTCGTCAAATGTCTGACGTACACAGTCGGATACATCGGATACACGACTATTGATTTCACGCATCTGGAAATATACGATCGCCGCTCGCGCGCGCGCGCTCCCCGGCTCTCCTGACTGCTGCCTCGTGCCACTAACACTCGCACTCGTTTCAGTCGGGAGAGACTTTTGATAATAAACGCGATGTCTGTCTGAGAGTTCGATTATATAATGCAAAAGACGACAAGAGTATTACGAATTCACCGATACACGCACGACGACGCGCCAGCAGGACGCGCGATGTAATACGACTCGTCGGCGGCGGCGGAGCCCGCTAGAAAAAAAAGAAAAAGAAACAACGTCGGCTCGGAAGCCGCGAGTGATGGAAACAATCGACGCTTTCGAAACATGTCGCAGGTCGCATCTTGTATTTATCAACGCTGACTTTTCACACTGTACTGCACCGAACTGTTCTGCTTGCACCGAGTCTAAATTTACATATCCGATAGCGTACAGCATTGCGGCTGTGCAACCGCGACTGTTATCTTTATCATCCACGTGACTTCTGCCCTACGCCCCTTGAGTTCATAAATTATATCGAAAATTCCGACATTATACAAAAATATGTGGCAAATGAATTGTGAAAAAGGAAGAGTTTATTTATTTATTAATTCCCCGTTATTCAGCCGCATCAGTTATTTAATATTTGTTTACGTGCGTGCAATACGTTGTACTTTTTAAAGTCAGGAAAAGATTCATTGTGGTCGGAGTATCGAGATAACCGAATAAAATAAAAGATACAATTAAATAATTCTGAAGCGAATGCTACTCTTTTTGAGCCGCGGCATGAATCGCATAACCGTTTGAAGCATATCGAATGCAGGCCGATGCGCAATGTTACCGGAATCCTCCATTCGATTTCAAGTTCGATGAGATCGCAGGGTTAACGTAGAACGACGAAATTTCGACTCGGATAATCCGAAGTCACGACACTTGCCGACGACCGCCGCAAGACGCGGCTGAAGCGAGGCCAATTTGCGCGACAATGCGCTCGTTATGTGCCCCGCGATTGTAGGGCTAATTGAATTTGCTACGTTCGACGAATACCGAATGCGTTCAGAGGCCATTCCGATCTATATCTAAAACGAGAAAGTTATTTCCAGCAAAAGTGTCGCCTGTGTCACGCACTGTACCTTATGCCGCCGCCCCATTTCCTCCTCGCTTTCGTAGCTTGAAAAACATTTCAGCCCGCTCATGATTATCCCGGAACGAACTATTTTCAGCGAGTCGGACGCTATCGAGAGCAGGCGGGAAACGGGGCTAAAGTATCTTCAGTTTTCGCTCGACTGTGCGCTCATTACGCGGTGGTGCCCAACGCGCGCCCAACGCGCGCGCGTACGCAAAAAAGGAGGAAAATGGAGAAAAAATGTCGGACTGGATCTAGTTTGTCGTTGGAGAACGGCGGAGGAAAGTCAAATTCCCGCTTTCGGCAGCGAAGGGGGGAGGTGGGGAAGCTGCAGCAGCTTCATTCGAATAAGTGGCCTCTTTAGTTTAGGTTCGCCTTCTTCTCTCGCCCACCCCTCCCCTTCCCTCCTCCTCAACCTGTCCGTCCACAGCAACCATCCTTCTTTATCCTCGAGTGTTCTCCTCCTTTCTTTTTTCTCTCTTCCCTCCCCCCCCCCTCTCATCTTTCCTACGCCCCATCTTCTCCTTACGACGAGCTTGCCGTCGACGAAATCGGGGCGAGTCGTTTATTTAATTTTCGAGATCCCGCCATTTTATTTTTATCCCCGGGACTTTATACACTTCGCTGATTAACCCACTTTGCGCGAGATCCACCCCCTCTGCAGAAACGCGCCGAAACGAAGGACGAACGCGGCGAGTTTGCATGGCGGGATTGAAGAAGGGTTAGGAAAAGCAAGAGGAAGCGGAGGAGGAGGAGGAGGAGAAGGTAGGGATCGGCGTTCAGAGCAGCACAGGGTGGAAGGAAGGACTCGCGCGTCCTCGCAGGGGAGAGGTTTGCGTTACTCACCGGATATAGAGATGTCTAAGCCCAGCCATCACTGAAATTGCCAGAGTTTACCTCTTCCGCCCTTTCCGCCGCGCTTCATCTCCCCCCCTTCCCCTAGCCAGCCCGATCGAGCTTCCCTTTTCTCAGCATGGAGCTTCCGCCCGTAAAATGTTCGACTCCTGCCTTTCATTCTCCCGGGTCGTCCCCCGCCTGTCCGCCCGCCCGCAGCTTTATTACAATGCGATTGTATTATCAAGATTTCAAGACTATTACAAGTATCGGTCTTCTCTCCTTCGGAGTCTCCTCCTTTCAGCCGCCTTAAGCTTTCCATATTAATCTACCTCGCCGAGGTGGCTGGTTTCACGGCGGGATCGACGAATCGCCCTTTATCGGCTGAACACCTCTCCTCCGCGCGCAATGTTTATCCGGCTACTAACGATCGGCGTTTCGCTCACTCACCCTCGCCATTGTTTCTCGGCGTCGCTTTGACCGGATCCCGCCGCCGTAATAAATCCCACCCCCTCCCTTCATATTCATTTATCACGAGTACAATCGTGCAAATTCGACTCCCCCGCGGTTCTCCACAATTCAAGAGAGAGAGAGAGAGAGAGAGAGAGAGAGAGAGAGAGAGAGAGAGAGAGAGAGAGAGAGAGAGAGAGAGAGATTCGCCCGACGCGCGCGCGCGCGCGCGAGAGACACCCTTCGCGCAAAATTCGAATCTCCGTCGACGACATCAAGCGCGCTGATTCCGGAGGGCAAATTTCACGGGACAATTCGCGAACGTTTCGGCGCCCCCCGCGCCCTCGAGATCGTCAGCGGCGCTTAGACGAGTGCGCGTCGCGAGTGCCGCCATTGCCGGCATCATCGGACGCGCTTCTTCTCGGCCGCTGATCCAGGCAGTTGCGATTGCACGCCCGCCACGCTCCAATTCGTCGATTACATTATCCACGCTGCATTGATATCCGCAAGTTGATGCAGTGGGCAACGGCGAGAAGCTCTGACGTTCGATATCTAACGCAGGCGACGGCAGCCGCGGCAAATATCGGAGATCGAAGACGTCGTCGAAGGCTCGCACGTGCCTCGTAACCGCTAATCCGATATAAGGCTCCCCGATGTCAAGCGACTCGGCTGGCGAACACAACCTTGAAGAGTTATGAACCTTGCAGGCGCGCGCGCGCGCGCGTGCACTCTCGCGGAGAATCCGCGACAATCCCCCGCTAACGTTTCTTCCGGTCTTGACCGTGACCTTTAGCGCTCGCGCTTCACAGCCGTTCCACCCTTTAAAGCGTCATCGCCCTATCGCCGGCTTCCAAAAGGAGGGGAGGAGGAAATCGCGTAGGCCGTTGCGCTGAATTTCATAGAAGCGAGCATCGCTTGCGGCTGCGGACGAGCTGCCGGTCAGTGTTTATCTATTGACACGTTATGCCGGAGCGTAAGTTGCGCCCGTTAAATAATGCAGCCGCGTCGATTATTTACGGCCCGGCCGTCGATAAGCAGACAGGTAGGGAAACACGAGAGGCTAGGAGAGCAAGGAAAGCAAGCCCGTGTCGCCCGGACGGAGAGAGAGAGAGAGAGAGAGAGGACGACTGCCGTCTCTGGCTGGCTGGCTGGAAATGTCGCGGCGGCACATCCAGACACAAACCATCCATATTTGATGAATTTCTTATCTGTCTCTCTCGCTGGGACACGATCGTGCCGCGGCGGAAATTTTATTTCCCGCTGCTCCCCCTCTCCCCTACTCCTACTTCTTGCGACCCCTCCCGCCTGAAACGTTATTAGTCGTCCCGTTGTTCACGGTGCTTCTTTGCAGAGCTCGCGAGCGGCTCTTAATGTCGGCTAATGCCGTGTCAACTAATCGGAAAGGCAGTTATCACGGAGTCACAATGGCCAACAATGGCGGACAGACGGACTCGTGATCACGCGCGCGCGACTTAACTATGCGACGCATTTTAACGAGCGGCCCTTCTCTTTTCTGTTGTGCAGATGGTGACGAGAACAAAGAAGATATTCGTCGGGGGATTATCGGCGCCGACGACGCTGGAGGACGTCAAAAATTACTTCGAGCAATTCGGCCCGGTGAGTACGAGACGAGCTGCGCTACGAGAGACGCCACCATCGCGGCGTTACCGCTATCGCGAGACTGTTATTACCGTACTTTTAATTCCCGTCCGCAAAGTGATTGGACAATCGAGTGAGCGACCGGGTCTATACTCGTTGCGTCGCGACAAAAGTGCGAATGCAACGGAACGCGCGACGCGGAGAGAGTCCCGCCGCGCCGGCGGGAGTTTCAGACGTGCTCGGCGCGGTCCGTTGGAAAAATATCGGAAGATCGAAAGTTCGGAGGGACTTGCTCTTCTCTCTTTTTTTCCCCCCCTTTTCGTTTCGGCGCGATATCGAATTCGCAAAATTTACGCGCCGTTATTCATCGCGGGTCGGGGCGGGCAACGAGAACGGTATCATTGACCATCATTTCAGCCGGTTACATTATCGATGTATCGCACATCCTCACCATTTCCTCTCGCGTCGCAAAATCGCGAGCGGCACCGTCCGACGACTGTGATTCATGGGATTTACATTGTTTAGTACTTTTGCATATTTTATTGGCCATTTCGCGCGGAACGCTATTGATTTTTGGACGAACAAGTGCACTCATTTCCATTTACACGACGTCAACGGCGCGCGACGACAATTCTGCCTCGCTGCAGTTCCCATGAATTTTGATCGTTATGGCTCATAACGGTGATATCGGGGTGGGGGTATCGCTATTTGGATTGTTTCAAAATGCGTGACATAATATTATCCACGTGCGAATGATCTCATTCACTCTGCCGCCCCGGACTAACTCGCTCTCGCGGATTACGGAAAGTCAGCCTTCGTTAACGTCATCACGCAAAATCGCGCGTTTAACCCCCTCCCCCTCACCGTCGTGCATTCGACCCTTCATAAATTGCAGATTATTCTCTCCGCGCGTAGTACATACACCAGCGACTACACACACACACACACACACACACACCGAATCTCTCGTGAGTTGCAACTTTCCAATTTAAAAAAATGACGACCGAGAGTCCGCGGGAGAGAAGACATCGTCTTGCTACTTCGTCTCTCTCCGCGCGCGCGTCCTAACGTCAAAATACGAGAGAATCTCGGGCCAACGCTGAGACAACTCGACGTTGTTACGAGCGACTCGTTTCATGTCGTTAAATTGTTGATCGATGCTTCGCCGTATCTCCCGGCAGCTCGGGGCCGCTCTGCTACTTCAGCCACCGCAAAATCCGTTTGGAAAACCGAGAGAGAGAAAGAAATAAAGAGAGAGAGAGAGAGAGAGAGAGAGAGAGAGAGAGACAAAGAGAAAGAGAGAGGGAGAAGGAATCCGGGTCGACGTTCGCGTCGACGTTCCAAACGGCGGATCGAGTGATTAGGGACTGCCGGCTCTGCTGGGCCACCTGAGGCAAGAATTTCGGCTAATTAGTCCCTAGTTCCCCAGGGAGAGCTTGAGGACGCGTTATTGCGCGAACTTCTTCCGAGTCCGGCGTGTCGATAACGACCGTGACGACCTCGACTCGTCGAGTTCGATTGGAAGCAGCGGTCGAGTTCGGCGCGCTCGCGCACGCGCACGATCTTCGATTCCAATTGCAATTCGGCACGCTTGCTCCGAATGGCTTTTCACGAGGCGGCGATAATAAATGAATGGCCGGGGCGAAATAACAGTTATTTAGCGGCAAGTTTTCGGCTATCTCGTTGCCGGGTCGGGTCGAGCTATATCGTAAAATTAGCGGCCGCCTCGTCGGAGAGCCAGAGCACTTCGATTAACCGCCAGCGCGATATTCCGGGATTCGCGTCGTGCTTCCTTCTATCCGTCCTTCCTTCTTTCACCGTCTCGGCGCGTTTCCACGATGATTCCACGGGACGAAAAGGGCGCGTTCTTCGATGCAAATGAATTCGCCCTGGCTCCGCCGGCGGGGCTGTCGCAGCTCGCAGCCGAATTAGCAACGCGAGACTGGCAGTGCCAGTCTCTCGGTCTCTCAGACGAGGGAGAGTGAGATAGAGGCCACGCTCCATCACCCTCTCTCGAGTGCGTGTGCACCCGGGTGCGAGTTTTCCAAGTTAGCGAGTTCGCTGTTCCCCGAGAGACTCGCCATCAGCTAGCAGCCAGATTCGTCCCGGGTCGACGGCGCGCAATAAAAACACGCGTACCGCGCATGAAAATCGCGATAGCGCGTTTCCATTACGGCGAGAGCGGGCTTCCTTGTCACGATCAGACGTGCTCTCGAACGTGCTCGTGCCCGGCGGCGGCGGCGGCGAGGCCGAGGAACCGATGGCGACGCTTATCATCCATCGACAGGCCGGCAGTCGAGATATCGGGGGGGGAAATTCGGCGGCGCCGAATGGCCGCATAATAAGGCGATCCCGGTCGTCCGTTGCAGATGCACAGCCGGCGGACATAGAAATTTATTGGAAAACTTGCTCCGGGGCCGGGGGAGGGGGAGGGGGGAACGGCTTCCAGCCGCCGGAGGATATACGCCCGGCTCCGTCAGGTGACACGATGTAGTTCCAGAGGGTCGACTACGGCGGCGGCGGCGGCGGCGGCGGGGTCGCTCGGTCGGTCGAACGGTCGGATGACGACGGGGGGTGGCGCAAGTGGGGAGGAAGAAGAAAAGGAAGTCGGGGCGCGCGCGCGATGTTTGTCCGTGGCTCGTGGCATGGGCCAGAAATGGACTTGAGATATCAGAGAGCCTGGCCGCTATCTCCGGCCTAACTCCACCCCGCCACCCCCTCTAATCCCACCCTCTTCTCTCTCTCTCTCTCTTTCTGCCCATGCCCCCGTTCACCGTTCGGAGTCCCCCGTCCGGCTTTGAATGCAGAGTTTCCGGCTCGTAGCGGCTCGACTTCGCCTCGCGTGTGTCCATGTGTGTGACCCACATCGGAGATACCATCGGACGTGCACGCGCGCGTTAGCTGGCTGGCTGGCTGGCTGGCGGACGTACATGACGCCATTTCGGAGTTCGACTCCTACGTACGGTGGCGCACACGTGGCCGCGTTACACGTCCGTGTCGTACGCCCACATGTGCGCACACTACGAGCGACTAGGGGCAGGGGGAGGGAGGGAAGAGAGCACAGCGTACACGATCGCGCTATATTCGCGCACCGGACGACTAACGGGCCGAACAAAAGCGAAGGGTTGGAAATTTGGAGTCGCGCCATTCGCAGAGTAATCGGGATGTGTTTCCTTACGCGCGCGCGCGCGCGTATGTGTGTGTGTGTGTGTGTGTGTATATGCGCGGCCGGGCAAACGCTTCGGTCTTCGTCGGGCGCACTCGCGCCTCGGCCGTTTCATATTTGCCTACCGTTATTGCGCGTACTTTATCGGCGAGATCCTGTCGGGCGGTCCGCGCGCGCGCGCGCGACAAATTGACGTTCTTGTATCTTTGAGAGCCGGCAAAGCCCCGAGAGCGCTTTTGCCCTCGGTCACGGGACCAGCGGCACGGGACAACTGCGCCGCGCTGCTGCACGGGTTTCGTGGTCGCTGGTATCCATGAACAGAACATGTTTCGTGCCCGGAACGTAAACACATGCGCGAGCGACGAGGCTAGCCCCGTTGTAAACGTCTATCGCTCGCCGGCTTCTCTCTCTCTCTCTCTCTCTCTCTCTCTTTCTGTCTCTCTCTGTCTCTCTCTCTGTCTGTCTGTCTGTCTCTTTTTGTCTCTCTGTCTCTCTCACCAGGTCAGCTCGATGCTCCATCTAGCTGATACGTATCTGATTCCACTTGTGCTCCGCGCGAAAGCACGAGGGAGAAAGGTAGCGGAAGCGGGAGATCTCTGTCGACGAAATAGCCAGACCGCCGAGCGGCTGATAAAGCTAATGGCATTGCCGGGAAATGCGTTATATACTCATCGCGTTCCGGTTTATGAAACTTTTCAGGGACGACCATTTCATTCCGACAAACACCTGTACGGCGCCCGTACAACGGCCGAAGCGTTCGGCGCGACATATTTCCCGCATACACTTTACGTTATCTCTCTCTCTCTCTCTGGGTACAACGTCGGCGAAATGTTTTAATTTCGCTTCGCGTATCGCTCGCGAGACGAGCCCGTCGAATCAGCCCATGACGGATACTTTTCAGTCACGTTACATTGTGTGTGTGTGTGTGTGTGTGTGTGGAAACACTGTCCGGCTAAAATAGCTCTTCAACGTGGTCGCTTGCTTATTTACTCGCCGAGACGGGGAAAGTGATTCTCTTTCTCTCTGTCTCGGTAATACCGAATGCGGCAATTTTCCACGGTTTGAGTTGAATAAAGTTTGCAGAGGGAGGCGATTCCTCGGGCAAAGTCGAGAGTCCTCCAGATAAAACATTTTGGAAAGAGCGGATAGCCGCGCGCGCGCGCGCGCGCGATAATTTCGGATCTCTTCGTGTTCCCAGCGTAACGCGACTCTCAACAACGAACACAACCGCTTGTGATATTCGCTTGTGAAATTTTTTTCCATCGTCCTTCACCGCCCCGCTCTTTCGCTCGCCTCGTTTTACCTCCGCCTATAACCCATCCCGCGACAACCCTCGGCGAGCCAGCGGACGTTATCGCGGCCGGATTAACGTAACGAAGAGCGGCGGTTTCTCCGCCGTCTATTACAGGCAGGGCCACGCATATCAATGCGCGTTAACAAATACCGGCGGCGGAAGCCGCCGGCGTCGTTAGAATTTTGAAAGAGTCCAGAGTGTAATAGTTACCATGAATGCAAATCTCGACCCGATATACATAAATTGGCAGCGAGCCCTGCGCCCGCGCCTCCCTTCGCCGTCCCCCGTCCAAGGCCGTTCGCGTATCGCAGACCGCCGGCAGCACGCGATTTAAAACTTAGATGAGGCCGTCCGGCGACGTTACCTGAAAAATGAATGGATCCCCGAAGAGAGCGAGAGCTTAATTGCGCTCGCTCTTAGAGCACCGGCCCCCTTCCTCCGGCCCGGTCTTTCTCCTTCGGCAGTCGAAGAGCCGGAAACGAGGGTGCATGAAGGGACCAGGACTGGGATGGGAAAGGGGGACCGGTGGTTACCGATGGAACGTTAGACCTCTTTGAC